CTAGCCCAACAAGAAATGTTTAAAGGAGTCCTACATCTCTAAGTAAAATGGCATTATATAGCATCCTGAAAACACCAAAAGTATAAAACTGACTGGTAGAATAGATAGATGAAAGGGAAAGGAGTCAAATGTTACCACTACAAAAAACTACCAAATCATAAGGATAAACAATAAAAGAGGAAAAAGGAACAAAGGACATACAAAACAATCAGAAAATAATTAAATGACAAGAGCAGCTCCTCACCTATCAGGAACAACCTTGAATGTAAATATTAATAGTTTAAATTCTCCATGTAAAAGATAAAAGGGATTCCTAGCCGAATGGGTAAAAAAACAAGACTCCACTACATGCTCACTTCACTTGTACAGACACACACAGAATGAAAATGAAAGGTTGGGAAAAAATATTCCACACAAGTGTAAACAAAAAGCATGCCAGGAGTAGCTATACTTATATCAGACAAAATAGACTTTAAATCAAAAAATAAAAATAGACAAGTTTATGTATTATTACATAATGATAAAGGCATCAATTCAGGAAGAGAACATAACAGTTGTAAATATATATGCACCCAATACTGGAGCACCCAGATATATAAAGAAAATATTATTAGAGCTAAAGAAATCTACAGACTCAAATACATTAATAGTTGGGGACTTCAACACCTCACTTTCAGCATTGGACAGGCCATCTAGACATAAAATAAAGAAACATCAGACTTAATCTGCACTATAGAATAAATCGACCTAAGAGACATTGACAGAACATTTCATTCAACAGCTGCAGAATATACATTTTTGTCATCAGCACATGGAACTTCTCCAGGATAGATCATAGGTTAGGCCATAAAACAAGTCTCAACGAATTTTTAAAAATCAAAATTATATCAAGTATCTGCTAAGACCATAATAGAATAAAACAAGAAGTCAGTAACAAGAGGAACTTTGGAAACTGTACAAATACATGGAAATTAAATGACATGCTCCCGAGCAACCACTGAGTTAATAAAGAAATTAAGAAGGTAATTGTAAAATTTCTTGAAACAAATGAAAACAACATACCTAACCCTATCAGATACAGCAGAAGAAATGCTAAGAGGGAATTTTGCAGCAGTAAACACCTATGCCGAAAAAGTAGAAAGATTTCAAATAAACAACCTAACAACGCATCTCAAGGAACTAGCAAAGCAAGAACAAACCAAACCCAAAATTAGTAGAATCAAATAAATAATAAAGATCAGAGCAGAACTAAACAAAATAAAGGCCAAAAAATAATACAAAGGATGAATAAAATGAAAGTTTGGTTTTTTGAAAAGATAAAATTGCTAAACCTCTAACTAGACAAACCAATAATAAAAAAGACCCAAATAAATAAAATCAGAAAACAAGAAAGGAGACATTACAACTGATACCATAGAAAGTTGAAGGATCATTAGAGACTATAATGAACGTCGATACACTATTAAATTGCAAAACCTGGAGAAAATGGAGAAATTCCTGTACACACACAACCTACCAAGATTGAGCCAGGAAGAAGTAGAAAACCCGAAAAGAGTGATAACAAATGAGATTAAATTGGTAATAAAAAGTCTCTCAACAAAGAAAATCCCAGGACTGGATGATAATGGCTTTATTGCTGAATTCTACCAAAGTTATAAAGAAGAACAAACATTAGTTCTCAAACTATTCCAAAAAATTGAAGAAGAGAGGATTTTTCTTAACTCATTCTTTGAGACCAACATTACGCTGATACCAAATCAGACAAAGACATAACAAAAAAAGAAAACTATATGCCAATATCACTAATGAACATAGACACAAAAGTCCTCAGCAAAATACTAACAAACCAAATCCAGCAGCACATCAAAAAGATAATACACCATGATCCAGTGGAATTTATTCCAGGGATGCAAATATGGTTCAACATATGCAAATCAACGTATGTGATACATCACATCAACATAATGAAGAACAACAACCATATGATCATCTCAGTAGACACAGAAGAAAGCATTGGAGAAAATTCAACATCCTTTTAGGATAAAAACTCTCAACAAATTAGCCATAGAAGGAACATACTTCAACCTAATAAAGGCTATATATAACAAACTGTAGCTAACACTACACTGAATGGGGAAAAGCTGACAGGCTTTCCTCTAAGACTGGAACAAGAAAAGGATACTCAATGTTCAACTCTTGTTCAGCACAATACTGGATGTCCTAGCCAGAGCAATCAGGGAAGAGAAAGAAATGAAAGACATGCAGATTGGGAAGGAGTAAGTCAAATTGTCTCCCTTTGCAGATGATATGATTTTATATATAGAAAAACCTAAAGACTAAAAACTTAAAAGTAATAAATGCATTCGGTAAAGCTGCAGAATACGAAATTGGCATTCAAAAATCAGTAGTGTTTCTATACACCCATAACAAATTAGCTGAAAAAGAAATGAAGCAATCCCATTTACAATTGCTACAAAGAAAATACTCATGAATAAATTTAGCCAAGGAAGTGAAATATGCCTACACTGAAAACTACAAAACGTTGTTGGAAAAAATTGCAAAGGAGACAAACAAATGGAAAGACGTCCCATGGTCAAGGATCAGAAGAATTAATAATGTTAAAATAACCGTACTACCAAAAGCTATCTACAGATTCAGTGCAATCCCTATCAAAATACCAATGATATTCTTCACAGAAATAAAAAAAATTCTAAAATTTGGAACCACAAAAGACCCATAATGGCCATAGCAAAACTGAGCAAAAAGAACAGAGCTGGAGACACCACAATACCTAATTCCAAAATATACTACAAAGCGAGGGTAACCAAAACAGCATGGTACTGGTGTAAAAACTGATGTGTAGACCAATGGAACAGAATACAGAAACCAGTAATAAATCCACCTATTTACAGCCAACTGATTTTTCAACGTAGGCTCCAAGAACATACACTGGGGAAAGGACATCTTCTCAATAAATGGTGCTAGGAAAATTGGATATTCATATGCAGAAGAATGAAACTAGATCCCTGTCTTTCACCATATGCAAAAATCAACTCAGGATGGATTAAAGACTTAAATGTAAGACCCCCAAACTGTAAAACTGCTTGAAGAAAATATGGGGGAAACACTTCAGGACATTGGTCTAGGCAAAGATTTTTATGGTTAAGACCTTAAAAGCACAGGCAACAAAAACAAAAATAGACAAATGAGACTATAGTAAACTAAAAGTCTTCTGCACACTAAAGGAGACAATCAACAGAGTGAAGAGACAACCTATAGAATGGGAGACAATATTTGCAAACTATTCATCCAATAAGTAACTCAATGCAATAGGAAAACACCAAATAATCCCATTGAAAAGTAACAAAATATCTGAATAGACATTTCTCAAAAGAAGATATACAAATGACGAACAGGGAAACAAAACACAAAACTGCAATGAGATTTCATTGCACCTCAGTTAGAATGGCTATTATCATAAAGACAAAAAATAAATGCTGGCAAGGATGAGGAGAAAAGGAAACTCTCACACACTGTTGGTGGGAATATAAATTAGTACAGCCATTATGGAAAACAGTATGGAGGTTTCTCAGAAAACTAAAAGCAGAACTACCATATGATCCAGCAATTCTACTATTGGTTATTCAAAGGAAAGAAAATCAGTTTGTCAAAAGGATAACGGCACCCTCATGTTTATCACAGCATTATTCACAATAGCAAAGATAAGGAATCACCTTCAGTGTCCATCAGCAGATGAATAGATAAAGAAAATGTAGCATATATACATATATATACACAGAATATATACATAATAGAATATATATACATAATATATATTACATATATACATAATAGAATACTATTCAGCCATAAAATAGAATGAAATCCTGTCATTTGCAGCAATGTGGATGGAACTGGAGGTCATTATGTTAAGTGAAATAAACTATGCACGGAAAGATAAATATCACATGTTCTCATTCGTGGGAGCTGAAAACGTGGATTTCATGGAAGTAGAGAGTAGATTGATAGTTATCAGAGGATGGGAAAGTTGGAGTTGTGGTGATGAAGAGAAGTTGGTTAATGGGTACGAAATAGAAAGAATAAGTTCTAGTGTTCAATAGCACAGTAGAATGGCTGTAGTTAATAATTTATTGTACATTTCAACATAGCTAGAAGAGAAGATTTGAAATGTTCCCAGTACAAAGATTTGATAAATGTTTGAGGTGATTAATATCCTAAATATCCTGATTTGAGCATTATACATTGTATGCATGTATCAAAATATCACATGTACCACATAAATTTGTGCAAATATTATGTATCAATAAAAAACTTTTTAAAGATTCAAAACTGGTATCCTGACTTTTACACTTAGGTTCCCTAATTACTATACCATACTGATTCCCATTATATAATGTGAGCCTCACAGTAACTTTGTGAGGAAAATAAGATAGGCTCATATCTCAATTTTACAATTCAGGAAAATGTCTCTTGGAGAGATTAAGCAGTTTCACTACATTTGAGTGGTGTAGCCAGTGTTAGAATCTGCTTCTTCAGATTTAGCTAGCAGGAAAGGAGCAGCATGGAGAGATGTTTGGGAGGGAGCCCAATTTCATTAAAGGGATCTGATGTGGAAAGCCTGAAGAAGCTGAATTAGGCAGCTCAGAAGGTGGTACACAGTGTGTGGAGAGGACAGTACCAAAGCAAAAATCCAGTAGCAGGCACCCATTGTGACTTGGCTGGTACTCTGAGCTGGAGAGGCTCAGGTTTGAATCCAGACTTTGCTGCTACCTTGCTGTGTATACTCAGCAATTCACTTTCTTACTCTGGGCCTTAGTCGCCTTCATCAAATGTTAATGACACTTATCTAACAAGACCATCAGAATGAAATGAGATCATGGATGTAAGAGATACAGCAGACTACCTAGCATATAGAAGGTGCTTAATAAAATTTAGTTTCTTCCCTGGAAGAGTGAATTTTTCTTTCTTTCTTTTCATAGCATTTATCTAGCCGACAGAGTGTACAGCAGAGCACGTCCCAGGTAAGCAGCTTACTCAGGCCTCCCTGTATTTTCCCTCAACTCTCTCTTTTAAGAGATCGCAACATATCAATGTACCTGGAAATGACAGACACCAATGACTTATTGATTATGTGGTGTCTTTATCTAAGGAGGCTTGACCTCCAAACATATTTGGCCAGTCTCCATTTCTCTGTTCAAATTTGCATAAGCACAATTAAAAGAAAATAGACTGAGACTAAAATAAATCGGCCTGGGAGAAAATAAGAATGTTACTAATATTTAGAATGATAACTATTACCATCTTACAGTGTAAATCAAGTGCATCAGGGTCATGATGGCATCTCTAAGAAATGACTTGAAAATAGTCCCTGAAGACTTTAGATGTTTGTGACCTGGTGGACATTTTGAGTTCACTTCTAAGTTGGAATTACTATTCCCATATTTCCTTCACTGTTTACTTCTCCCAGCTGCTTGCTTGCCCACCTCAACCTAAGTCTGTCAACATAGTAACCCCTATTAGCTGAGAAAACATCTTTAGTCTCTCTCTTAAATAAGTCCCTTCAACAATGTGAGGAGAGTTAGTAATTTAGTTTCAGATTTAAGGATCAATATAATAACTAAAATAGAAGTCACTGTTTTTTGCTTTCCTCATTAGGTAGATACAATGCGCCCACGTCATGGAGAAACCTGTCGGATGCCAGTGCCACATCACTTCTTCCTCAGCCTAAAGAGTTTCACCTACAATACCATTGGAGAAGATACCGATGTCTTCTTTTCCTTATATGACATGAGAGAAGGCAAGCAGATAAGGTAAGAGTCACTGTAAGTTCTGGTGAGGTTGAGACTCTTTGTTAGGATGATATGGGTCATAGGCATTTGTGGCTTTCAGAGAAGATAGATGCACAGAGGAAGGAAAACAAGATAAAATAACCTTGTCTTGTTAGGTAATAGTTTGGCCCCAATTTCCAGTGTACCCTTAAGTCATCTAAACCATACCATGTGTGGCACTGCTTTTTTATTCCTGTTTCCATAGGAAAGCTTAAAATTGAGTCTTGGTTATCATCACCTCACAGAGAGAAAAGGATACATCTGTTTAATGCCAGAGAAAAGGAATGGGAAAAATGTAGAACAAAGCAAATGCAGCAGAGATGCCCAGCCCCAGTGCACAGGAAGTCTTTGGCCCTGGCTTGCTACACGTGGGAGAAAGGGTTCACAGGGAAAGAGCCCGATTGTGTTCCATCTGGCAGCCCAGTGAGGGGGAGAGGATCTTCTGGGCAGAAGGGAAGGCTAGCCTACCTTTGTCTTTTATCTTTGCGTTAGAATGAAGGAGAGGCAACAAAAGAGGCTGACGTACAGTAGACTATTTATCTTGGCAGAGTAACGAAGCCCTGCTTTCTCCCTTGAGAAAGGATAGGGAGGAATTAAGTAGACTTTCTGGGCTTCCCTTTCTTTAGAGGCCAGCAAGGCTCTGACAGTGTAAGATGACTTTTGTAGCCAAAATAAAATTTAACAGAGTCCAGCTGTTTCTCTGTGATCATCTTTTAAGCAGGACAGAAAGAAAATAAATCTTGGGTTTCTAGTATATTGCTTGGAAACTTCCTATGTTAGGAGTGCTTTGTGGGTTTTGTTTGTTTTTTTACTTAAAATTTGAAAACAGCTCTTTCACTTTTCCAATTTTATGTGTTAACTGAAGAAATAATGAGGTTCATAATTTGGCAAAGAGAGCTTTATTTCTCATACAGGGTTGTAGCCTGCAGGTGCCCATTCCAGCAGTCTGGAAAGCAAGGCCCCCAGCCACAAGCCAGGAACATGTGCTTTGAGGCAGGGACAATAGGAACAGGAATTTATACTGCACAGGATAGCCAAATATACATATTTAACAAGCTATAGGAGAAGTCATGAATATTTATGAAAAGAGAAGCCTGTATCTGTCCTTTTATGAGGTTCATGTTCAGAAATGACTGCCCTCTCTGTCAAAAAGATGAATCAAGGACACAGAACCCCTCTCTGTTTAAAACCACTTCATGGTTGGTGGTCTTTTCCAGAAAAGAATGCTGGTCTGGCCCTTAGGAAAAAAAGCCTGATGGCCTTTAGCAAGGGAGGGCGGGTAAAAGGAGGCATGTCTCACCTCCCATCCTATCATGGCTTGGAACTCAGTTTTAAGGTTTCTCTGGATCCCATTGGCCAAAAGGGGGTCCGTTCAGACAGTGGGGGTTTTTAGGGTTTTATTTTAGTTCATACGTTACATGTGGGAAAATTAAAAATGGAAGTTATAACAGAATGCAAAAGAAAAACAGTTAATTTACATGCTCCACAATGCCTCTGATCTTGGCAAAATAAATTAAAGCACTGTGCTTCACTTTGGCCTAGAAATAAAATAATGCACCCTTTGATCAAGGCGTATGAGTTTTCCTTGTCATCAGTGGCTCCTACTATGTGCCCTTAGGAAAGCTGTTATAGAGAAGGTGGTAGTGGTATTGATGGCAGCTACAGCACACAAGTAAGACTACAGGCCAGGGCTGCATAGATATAGATTCTAGCTTCTCTTATTTATCTACTAGACCAGAAATTTATATTCTTGATTATTTATTTTGTGCATAAGAATCCTTTCTTCAAGCTAAATTTCATGAGAAAGTTCAATATATGAAACAGATAAAATAGACCTATTCCATTATTGAAGGGAAGGGGGAGATAACAGGAATCTCAATATGCCTGTACCCTGTGGAATTGCTGAAAGTCTGTGGGTTGCAGTTTGAAAACCAGAGCACACTATTTTGTCATCCTTGAGCACAGAGACTATCTTCTCTCTCCATAATCCCGGCACCTCACACAGTGCTTGTGCCCAGTCCATGCTTTATTAGGCTTACTGAACAGAAAATATCCAAGCCTAGCAGAACCACTGCACTGCTCTGGTGTGTAATCTGTGGGGGATCATCAATGCACCAGTTACTCTATCTTTGGACTTAACTGTTTACTATGTAGTTTCAAGAAACTATAAAGCATTTTAAAAGAAGAAATTTTTAAAAATTTTGTTGAGTTTCTGGAAATGTTTAGATTACTAAAAAATTCTTAGTGGGGGGAGGGAGGAAGGGGGAGGAGGGAGGAGGGGACGGGTATATGCATACACAAAGAGTGCAATGCTCACCACCCGAAGGATGGACATATTTGAAACTCGGACTTGGGGGGGAGGGGGGACAAGGGCCACATACGTAACCTAAACATCTGTACCCCCATAATATGCTGAAATAAAAAAAAAAAGCAACTTTAAAAATAAAGAGACTTTTGCACAAAAAAAAAAATTCTTAGATATTAGAACTATACCATCTTCCCATTCAATTAAGAAAATAATAAGGTGTTTAGTTGAAAATATCATCTACTTTCTTTAGTTTTAAGAGTGAATTAGCAGAATTTTATGTATAGATCTAAAATTGATAAATTTTTGTTTCTGTTTTCTGTTATGATTTGTGTAGTTGTAAAAACCCTCAAAAGGTTTAGATCATTGAACTAGTCTTACCAGAGAATTCTGCTTTTATTATGGTTAAGTGTTAAATTGGTCATATATTACTTTCTTGAAGCAGTTATCAGAAATCACTAAGGGCCGAGCATGGTGGCTCACGCCTGTAATCCTAGCACTTTGAGAGGCCCAGGTGGGAGGATTGCTTGAGCTCAGGAGTTCAAGACCAGCCTCAGCAAGAGTCAGACCCAATCTCTACTAAAAATAGAAAAAAAAATTAGCCGGGAATTGTGGTGCACACCTATAGTCCCAGTTACTGGGGAGGCTGAGGCAAGAGGATCGCTTGAGCCCAGGAGTTTGAGGTTGCTGTGAGCTAGGCTGATGCCACAGCACTCTAGCCTGGGCAACAGAGCGAAACTCTGTTTAAAAAAAAAAAAAAGAAAAGAAAAAGAAATCACTAAGGTGTGCAGAGTATTGAACAGAGCAATTGGTTTAATTGTGTTTTCTCATCAGAACTCCTAGAGTGCTGTCTTTCCAATCAAATATTGCTAGTTTAATCTCCAATTAAATGGTGTTGGTCTAGTATTCAGTGTTGCCAAGACACTCACACCTCTGTGCCAAAGAGTGCATGTGAGCAGGTAGAGCAGATTAAAGAAAAGAGCAGATATTTCTCCATTAAAGTCTCCTTGCTGATTCCACAGGCAAACCTAAAGAGACTAAAATGAATGATATATTGCAAACCTACATAGTGCATCCTGATATTGCTGACTGGTGAGTATTAGATGATCTCCAGAAGGGAAGAAGTAGCAGCTAGCAGGGCCTTGGTAGCTCTAGCTAGCTTTTTTGGTATTTCATCATTCAGAACAGAATCATAAATATTTAGCCATGAAATCTAAAGTCTCCAACTGAGACCTTTCCTCTGAGCTTCAGCCCTCATTTCCTTTTTCCTACCAGACGTCTGTGCTTGGATCTCCCTCAGACATTTCTACCTCAACATACCTAAAGTAAATCTATTTTCTTTGCTTCACACATACACTTCTGCCTGTGTTCTTTAAATCAGATGAAAGGCATTATCATTTGCTCAAAGACCCACATCTGAAACCTTTGAGTTATCTTAGGCTCCTCCCTTTCTATTTCCTTCCCCTCTCATTTAATCACTGTGTCCTGTCAACTTTTACCTACTAAATATCAATCGAATCACCACTCCCACTCCATCCCCATTGTCACCTAAGATCCTTCACATTTCTTCCCAAACAGATTTCCTGGTTCTACTGTCTTCCCACCATGAGTTATTCTCCACACCACCACCAAATTTATCTTCTCAAAATGCAAACTATTAGGGTCAGGTCCCACTTATATTTTTTTTTTTTTTTTTTTTTTCAGAGTCTCACTTTGTTGCCCTGGCTAGAGTGAGTGCCATGGCATCAGCCTAGCTCACAACAACCTCGAACTCCTGGGCTCAAGCAATCCTCCTGTCTCAGCCTCCTGAGTAGCTGGGACTACAGGCATGCGCCACCATGCCTGGCTAATTTTTTCTATATATATATGTTTTTAGTTGTCCAGATCATTTCTTTCTATTTTTTAGTAGAGACAGGGTCTCGCTCTTGCTCAGGCTGGTCTCGAACTCCTGAGCTCAAACAATCCGCCCGCCTCGGCCTCCCAGAGTGCTAGGATTACAGGCGTGAGCCACCGCACCTGGCCCCACTTATCTTAATGTACTTGCTATGTATCATGGCATAAAAGGCCTGACATATAATCCTGCCTATTTCTCTTACCTTGTTTTATGCATATTATTTCACCTCAGTGACTTATTTGACTATCTCTAAACATGCCTTGTTGTTTCATGCCTCCCTACCTTTTTTGACTTGATAAACTTCTGTCCATTCTTTAAAACTCAACTTTATGAAACCTTCCTCAATATTCAAAATCAAGTTAAAATCAAGTCCTGAGACTTCATTGTGCACATGATGATGATGACACTCTCTACTTAGTTTTATCCCATTACTAGATACTGTATTGTTATAGTGTACGTGCATAAAGATGTCCCCCACTAGAATGGGAACTTCCTTAGGTGTCTTCTGTACTGTTTTCTTCCCCATGCTAAGCATAAGACTTGGGACATTGGAACATTAAATAAGTATTTAGTGAATAAATACATAAGTGCACCCATCAAGTAAGTACCAATTACTCACCTGTGAATCAAGAAATTTTCATTTAATTTAATAATTTAGCAAGCATTTAATAAATTGGCAAGCTTTTACTGGGGGTCTCTCATTTGTGGGCCTCTATAATAACTGCTAGGGATCTAGAGATTAAAAGAAATGTCCCTGTCCCTGAGGTAGGGACATGGTAAGGC